GTATATTTATTTCAATCCAATTTCAGGCAGGTTTTATGTCTCAAGACATGTTCTCTCTGATGAAACTAATTTTCCTTACAAAATGTTAGTTTCAAAATCAACAGTGTCTTCAACTTTGGCACCTTCCACACCACCATCTGTTGCATCAGTAGTCACAAGTCAAAATGTCATTATCTCTCATACAACATCTCTATCTTATGTATCTACACCATCAAATCAACCCAATAGAGCTTCAAAGTCTTTCACTGAACCAGCTAGTGTCTTAGAGTCTTTGAATTCACCACCTAGAGCTTCATAGTTATTCAATTCCATTTTGTCCGAGACCCTTTATCTAGTGCCTTAGAGTCTTTGAGCTCATCAAGTGATAGTATCTCAGGTTCTTCAGCATCTACACAGTCTCCAGTTCCTGTGGATCCTGATTTTCAACTTGAAAGTCTGAAAATTGCTCTTCCTCTACCATCTGTGAGTTTACATCCAATGCAAACAAGGTCCAAAAGTGGTATTATCAAGAAGAAAGCCTTTGTAGCTTCTATTTCAGCTTATGAGAATTCAATTGGAGAACCAACATCATTCAAATATACTAGTAAGGCAAAAGAATGGAAGGCAACTATGCAAGATGAAACTAATGCTTTACATGCTCAACATACTTGGTATTTTGTTCCATTTCCATTTGGTAAAAACTTGGTTGGATGTAAATGGGTCTATAAAATTAAGAAACATCCAAATTGCTCTATAGCAATGTATAAAGCCAGGTTTTGTTGCCAGAGGGGGTATAGTCAAGAGGAAGACATTGATTATAGTGAAACATTCAGCCCAATTGTCAAGACAACCACTGTTAGACTTACTTTAGCACTTGCAGTTCAATTGGTCTTTAAGGCAGCTTGATGTAAAAAAAATTAAAAAAAAAAAAAAACTTTTTTACGTGGTGATTTAACTGAAGATGTCTATATGACACAACCACTTGGTTTTTTCAATGCCAATAATCCATCTAACTTTGTATGCAGTCTTCAAACATCTTTGTATGGACTTAAACATGCTTTAAGAGCCTGGAATGAAAAGTTCACCAGTTTCTTACCAGGTTTGGGGTTTCAGGCTTCACTTGCAGATCCATCTTTGTTTATGAAACATACCTCTCTTGGTATTGGTGTTCTCTTGCTATATGTTGATGATATCATTCTTACCGGGAGTAATTCCTCTGATATTGCTGCTGTCATAAAAGAGTTGACAAAAACATTTGACATGAAGGATTTGGGCCAGTTAAACTATTTTCTGGGATTGCAAATTACCTATCATTCTAATGGTTTATTTGTATATTAGCAAATGTATGTATCAAGGATTTAATGGTTAAAGTGGATATGAGCAATTCCAAACCATGTGCTACACATTGCCTTCCATATCACAAATTGTTAAAAGAAGATAGAGCACCATATGATAGTCCAAATCCATATAGGAGTGTAGTGGGTGCCTTGCGGTATTTGACCTTCACCGGGACAAATATTGCATTTGTAGTCAATCATTGTTGTTAGTTTGTGCAGTCAAAAGAATCCTATGTTTTAGCAGTCAAAAGAATCCTCAGGTATCTTAGTGGTACACTTGATTATGGCATACATGTTCAACCTAGCAAGCTATCTCTGCAAGCATATAGTGATGTAGATTGGGTAGGAGACCCTAATGATCGAAGGTCTACTTCTGGTTACATAGTTTATCTTGGGTCTAGTCCAATCTCTTGGGTTTCTACGAAACAACAAACAGTATCTCGATCCTCCACTGAGGCTAAGTATTGAGCTTTAGCTATAGAAGCCGTAGAATTATCATGGATTGGACAACTTTTATGTGATCTTTGATGCTTTGTGATAATATTAGTGTTATAGCACTGTCATCAAATCCAATGTTTCATTCCAGAGTAAAACATATCGAAATAGACTACCATTTCATTCGAGAAAGGGTGATTAAAGGTGATTTAGTTGTGCATCATGTTTCTTCAAAAGCACAGTTTGTTGATATATTGACCAAAGGTTTGTCTATGTCATTGTTTTAAGAACACTGTTCCAATCTCATGCTAGGTTCTAACAAGCATGAGATTGAGGGGGGATGTGAGGATGACAAGGATCAAATTGCAATCAAGGATCAAGATGCTGCCATGTGTCAGTAGATTAGGTAATATGGTTGTTGAGTTAGTTATGTTTGTTGAGAGATAGATTACTTAGAGAGTAAGCAATGTAACTAGTATAAAAGGAAAGATTACTGTTGTATTCATAATTGTGAAAAATATCAGAAGCATGTCTCAATTCTCTCTCTCTCTCTTAACTTCTCTCTCTACCTTCTGCAACCATATTATCTGATAATCTTCAACCTCAGACTTGTACATTTCAACAGGTTGATCTGATTTGTAACAAAGGACCCAAAGAAAAAAAATTGAATGAATCTCAATAGTGCAATAGTATTGAATATCGTCACAAAAACAAGTGTAAATCCTCCTTCAAAAGAGAAGCAACTATATTTTAAACAACTCTTTAGATGTAAAAGGTTAACCTGTTGTTTTCTATAAATATAGCTTAGCTACCAACCAAAACGCTACCATTGTTTTGGAGTACATCGGTAAAATAAGGGCAACAATATTTTAAACAACTTACGTACATACTTATAATCTTTTTCACATTCTCGCGTCAACGCGGGCCTACTGTGTATATAAATATATGTTGAAACTTTTCTATTTTGCTGCTGGGGACTACTACCGTGGCAGATCAGGTAAACCGTTGATCACCAAGACTTGCACATAAATACTTTATGATGGATTTGCAGTCTTTGCCACTCGTTTGACTGACTTCAAGTCTTCGAAATGCTGCCTTCCTCAGTTGTTAGTTCTGCTTCGAGTTTTATTAATTTTCTTTGCATATTATATATATGAACTCAACCCGTGAGAAATCGGCTGTCAGATATTAAAAATTTTGTGGACTAATGCAATTTATGGGTCTTTTTCCTAACAAATTATATACTTATACAGTTATAGTAGGTCTTTTAAGACGGCTTTGATATGCCATACATAAATTCACAACTGATAATCTTTCAACTCATAAGTCTTCACACACATACATATAGGTATTTATTTAAATTTATCCGTATATATTGTTGAGAACATCCACACTACAAGAAAAATAGGATAAAACAACATTAAAAACAAGTGTATTTTTTCTCTTGTGAAAAACATGCTTTGACATATGGAATGCACGGTGTTATATACCATAAGCTTTATTTCACAATGTTCAAGTATTGCGTTGCTAAAAATTAGTATGATTACGTGCATGTTCCCATTGTAAACCGGTTTTTTTTATTATTTAAAAATATCATTGCGCGTTGTTATTTATGTTCAGTAATACAACATGTTCTTGAACATTGTGGATTATCTATTCTATTAAGAGAAGAGGGCTTGCCAATTTTTTGCCCCCTTTTCTTCCAATTTTGCCGTTACTTTTGAATACACAATGTTGACATGAGGAGGGCCAAATAGTAATGTTATATCTTTTGAACTTTTTCCCCGTTTTTTCCTATTTTGCCCTCACCTTTGATACATAATATTTACATAATGAGGGCAAAATAGTAATTTTATATCAAAATATTTACATAAGATAAAAAATATGCACTTATTAAGAGAAATTATCCCACCATCAGTTTTTCATACAGGTAAGTGAAATCATGATGTTTTTTGGATAGTATGAATGAACTGAAATGGTTGCGCTTGAGGAGAACGTGGGAAGAGGTGGTCAGTTGAAGAGGCTTAAATTTTGTCAATTATATCCCTATTTTTCCTATTTTACTCATTCTTTGAGAAAATGACAATTATCACATCCCGGCCCGGGGCGCACCACTTTCCGGGCCCGCTTCACCACCGTAGCACGATATTGTCCGCTTTGGACCCCGACCACGCCTTCACGGTTTTTTTTTCTGGGAACTCACACGAGAACTTCCCGATGGGTCACCCATCCTGGGAATGCTCTCGCGCGCTACTCGATTAACTTCGGAGTTCCTACGGAACCTGAAGCCAGTGAGCTCCCAAAAGGCCTCGTGCTAGGTAGAGATGGAATATACATATAAGGATCAGTCCCCTGGGCGATGTGGGATGTCACAATCCATCCCCCTTAGGGGCCCGACGTCCTCGTCGGCACACACGCGACCAGGGTTAGGCTCTGATACCAAATTGTCACATCCCGGCCCGGGGCGCACCACTTTCCGGGCCCGCTCCACCACCGTAGCACGATATTGTCCGCTTTGGGCCCCGACCACGCCCTCACGGTTTTGTTTCTGGGAACTCACTCGAGAACTTCCCGATGGGTCACCCATCCTGGGAATGCTCTCGCGCGCTACTCGATTAACTTCGGAGTTCCTACGGAACCCGAAGCCAGTGAGCTCCCAAAAGGCCTCGTGCTAGGTAGAGATGGAATATACATATAAGGATCAGTCCCCTGGGCGATGTGGGATGTCACAACAATCATATACCTATTTTTCCTATGACAAAAATATACCCTTACTAAGATAAGCTGTCTCATCATCATTGTCTCATACTTTGTTTTACAATTTTAAAAACTAACACTACAAAAAAAATGAGCACTGCACACAAAAAATTATATGTGCCTTTTGAGGCCAAAAAGCACCAACATTTGTGCTCATAGACCAATAGCAACAGTGCAGCAACTAAGTTTGTATCTGTGCCCTCTATGGGCGTCACCATTACTTATAGCACACAATATGATGTTTTGTGCCCAAAGCTAAGCACAAATACAACCCTTATTGTGTCTTACCTCTAATAAAGGCTACTGAATGTATGGTGTAAGATGGGCACAATTGCTATTTTAAAGGCTTAGATTGCTGTATAAATGTTAAAGCAAGGGCACAACTTTAAAATTGTGCCACTATTATATTTTAATAAATACAATAAAACTCCAGCACAAATAAAAATTTGTGGCATAATTGGATATTTTTATTTAAACATGAAAATCATCAGGTTGCTCATAGAACCTAATTTCCACCTAAATTTAGAAACTTACAAATCATCCATTACAAACTAAACATAAATCAACATTAGCACTAACATAGTGAAGTCAATATATTACATAACCCATGTTCTCGGCTAAGACCAATTCATGCAACCTAACAATACAACCCATCCAAATGTTAAACCAAAAAATACATGTTATCCTATGCTGGACATACCCGGGATTCTCTATATACAACAAAATATAACATATCCAAGCTTGTATCCCCAAGTCAAACGTACTAATGGTTAAACTAGCAATATATAAACAAAATACACATCTACAAGGGCTGCTTGATGACAACTAACCAGTATTCTCACTTTGGCAGTCCTCATGCATCATAGCACTAGAAATTGGAGGTCCACACTGCACATTCTTGTCATTTCCACCTTCGAAACGCGTTGAAATCTGAGCGTGTGAGCTTCCACACCCTTGCTGCTGATATATATATATATCTTAGAATGACATTCCACCCCCTCCTGCCAATATCCTTTTAGAATGACATTCCTACCCATTTGCAAAACAAATTACAAACAAATCATAAGAGTATCTTCATTCAGAAAACCTGACTTCTAAACATGTCAATGTCCAAAATTCTCCCATTTTCAACATGCATTTTTCAAGAAGAGACATACACTGGCACACATACAATGAAAATCATATGAAAAAAAGAGCCAAGAAATCACATAAAAGTATCAATCTTTGAAATTTTATTTTCCTTTCCCCCATCACAGCCAAAAAATAAAGGGTAAGTCTACAAATATCAATTTTCATGCCACAAATTTGTGATACATTACAATCTAAAATCACACACATACCATAAATCAATTGAGAACTACCTACCATAAATCAATTGAGAACTACAATAATGTGACAATCCGCATGTATAACCTACACGTCCATCGTTATAGGTTTAATAAAAATACCATTATTTTAAAATCATGGATGATTCAATTTTAACCTTAAAATCGAGACCATCTCCAGTTCTTGACAAATCAAATTTCAATAAATAGCCACACATGTGAAATAAACAAAAAGAAACAGATCTCAGAGAATAATAGCTTACCATCAACAAAGATCTTGCTACTGTCTTTGGAGGTTTGGAGGCTTTTTTTTATGTTCGTATACTATTAAAAACAAAAAACATATGTTAGTAAAAAGCATATAGCATCGACAACTGATTTGAAAAACAAACTGAAACATGAAAAAAAAAAAAAAAAAAAAAAGGAGTGCGTTCTAAAGCTTTTATTTCTCCTGTCACACGAAATTGATAGTGTATCAGATCTTAGTGTTTTTCCCTGATATAAGATGTACTGTTATTCACTAAGACAAAGATCCAACCTTGACAACAATTAAATAGTGTCTGACCATTTTGTTATCATGGGTAATCTCTATCAGAAACATTCTATTCATCTTTCTATTTCAACACAATTTTAACACGTATTGGTCTATAATGTGATTTGTTTTCTTTTCAGTGGACATCTGATTAGAGTTATAGAGTGTTCCTTCTTTTTTTATTTCACATATAATATAGGGATTGATCATGACATCTAGCAACTGATAATATATGCATGCTCTAACCCAAAAATAAAATAAGAACAGAGTGTTGTGAGCTGCAGAGCCACCATACTACTGCGCAAGATGCTCTGGTACAGATCCATTTGAGCTGCACCAATCGTGCTCTCAGGATGACACAACAATAATTATTCAAAGATTAGAAACAAATTATATAAGGTTTATTATTTACTTTAATAATTTTATTTTCATCTTTGACTGAATTATTTTCCCTAGATTACCAGTGACAACTGCCTCTTTTGTAGAGAAACGGATTTTCTACTTGTTTTGACATTGTTCCGACTTTTAATTAGAGAAAACTCAAAGACAAACAGAGACATGCTTATTTTCGTTCACAAAACTATCCAGAGGGGTGATAAGAGAAACTTTGCAAGTTAAATCACACATGGTTTCTAGTTCACATAACTAAAAATTATTGTAGGCAACCAAGAACATTAAAAGAGATTAGCTTCTTAAACCGGTTGTATTTTTATATTTTCATTTTCATGTACCAGTAAGGAAACGATAATATATTCCAAAATTAGCAGGTTACAGAGAAATATAAATATTGTGTTCAAGGAATTAATATGATTGCAAATGTAATAGTTCCATATATAGTGAGGTTGGAGAAATGATGGAAGACGCACTGAGATTTGAGGTCCATAGGTTGAGAAGAGTCCATGGCACTGATCCATATATGGATATTTTGCACAGATCTACAGTTCAAGTTTTTAAACAAAGAATCAATTTATCAGCAATTGCGACATTCATTATTTGCCAAAAAGTTATTGATTCACATATAAACAAATGAAAGCAATTGAAAAATAAAGGCTTACCACAGGCTGGCTGAATCCGAGTTCGAAATGACTGCGGATTTGAAAATTGTATTAAACATTGTGTTTGAAAGATGTAAAAAGGGTATCAAAAAACATTAACATTATTGAGAACATAGGGGTTAGAAAACACAATCACACAGTCGGTATTTGGCGGTGAAACTTAAAAACCAAAAATGCACTTAAACATCCTAGAGAGAACAGAATTGTAAGCAAAACATAGAATATTGAAAGAATATTGTGATAGTCACGAAATAAGTTTATGGGTTTGCTACAATTTATCATTTTCTGTTAAACTGAAAGTGTAAACGTTTAGCTACTCACCAAGAAAAAAGCAATTGATTGATGCTAAATACAAAACCGGCTGACCTTGAAATATAAACAAGAGAAACTAATTGAAATAATCAAAACCCAAATTCAATTTCAAAGGTATATAAGAGTCATGCAAAGGTGTGGCAGATGACTACAGACCATAGTGAAGCTACTTTCATAGTTATTTATTTCCTTACATGATAATCAAGGTCTAGCTAAGCTTCTATACCTTTTTAGTAGGAATTAACTCTACGTCCAAGGCATCCACCCGACAAATAACAGCATTCGGCAATTCCAAAGGGAGTCCTCCCACAAAATCCTTAAAACAACTCAATCAAAATGAACGTAGACTGAAAGTCAAAAGTAAAATCAAAATGAATGTAGAATCAAAATAAAACACTGGATTTAACATTATAGAGTCTAAAAACTGAAAGGATTAAAATAGTCCAACTTTGAACTGATTACCTGAGTATAGGTTGAGCAGTGAAATTTGTGAAGTGTAAGATTGTGAATTTAGGACAATAAATTGTATACCAGCATACCACTCAAATAGAAGGAGATCGAAAGTTAAAAAAAAAAAAAAAAAAAAACAGTCGGTAACAAAAACTGACCCAGCAAAATTGTTAATGTATTAAAAACTAAATATTTCAACAAATTATATACCCTCAGCAAAACCCCAAAATAAGAACACCAGCGTTTGCTGAAAGCAAAAAAAGAACGAAATCAGACAGCCACACACAGCATCCGAGCACATAAACAAAACCCCCAAAATTATAAAAAGAAAATTTAAACACAAAATCCATCTGTAAATCGAAAAAAAAAAAATTAAATTAAATCAGACACACTGAGAACGACGAAAAACTCATCAGGAGACTCTAGGTTATGTGGGTAAGAAATGGATTTCGATCAAATTAAGAAAAAAGGCAAAAACTTCTAGGAGCTCAACGATTTCCAAGGAAAAGTAAATTAATTTCTAACAGAAAATAGAAAAAATAAAGTACATGCACAAAATCAAACATATCAACTTCCACACTAATTGAAAGCACAATTAATTGCATGAATATTAAATTAAACATGCAAATAATGAGATTGAATGTGCGAACCTGAACAAAACAACGAAATTGACGGCGGCGCGAGCATGGCTGAGATGGCTGAGATCACAGGCGGTACTTCCATAGAACTACATGCTGACCTTGCCGGGTTCTATCGGCCTGCCGATCTGGAGAAAGATGGCAACGCTAAACAGCAAGTAAAACGGCAATGCGAGAGAGAAAAAAACCTAGGTTCCAAAATACCCAAAAGGTGAGAATGGCGAGAGAAGCGAAATTGGGATGAAGTCGAACTGAAAGGGCCATCGATGATGGACGCGTGGGCTAGAAGGGAAACGTCGTGCATTCGCTGTGACGGAATCAAACCACACAGACAAAGGATGATCAACGCGTGGCAATCAGGGGCATAACAGATATTTAACTGTGCAAAGCTGCAGCAAAACGGCTAAGCAAACAAAAAATCAGGGGCATTTCCGTCTTTTTACTATTGCTGAACAGTGCCGGAACCCAACTGGGTTTTAGTATATATAATGTCTCATAACCTTTGTGTTGCCACGCTGTGAATTCACTGAATTCTGCGGTATGAAGCGGACGAGAAACATAATTATAACCTAAAAAAATATATACTAGGAGTAAATCTACAAGGGCTAATTAGAAAGAAAACATTATTATATTGGAATACGACATAAGTTGATAAAAGGACCCAAGAGGAGTCCAGCATAGCATACGATAGTTATATTTTCATAGTACACCAGTGAAATATAACATAATACAAAATATATTAATTGTCCTCGTCATCGCTGCTTAAAATCTCAACGGTAACATTCTGCATATTTCGTGAGCTCAACTGTGGGACAGACAGACCTCTAGGACGAATTTGTGCTTGATAAGTGCGTGGTTCTTCAATAATAACGACAGAATTGGTAGACTGTTCAGTTGTTGTTTCAGCAGAAACCAAATTGACAGGATATTGTTCTGTCCTACCTGGGTTTGCCCATGCTGGCAATACACGTCCTTGAGGTGCGCGTACGCATCCGTTATTGAAGGGTAATGCGTAGCCAAGGCGACCATCAACAAAAGTAGTAAGAATGTACTGATTATTAAAAGGACGAGGCATGCGCCTGGCATTAACAGGTTGTCGTGGACGTTGAACTGGAGGATTCGTTGTGGAATTTTCTGTTGTAATGTTGGAAGCAATATACGAATGTGATGCTGGAGATTCAGTTCCAATTCTAACTCCACGACGTCGCCTGTCCGCCATTGTCAATGATGTAGAACTTGCTCAAATTCAAAAGAAACATATGTGTATGAAGCAACCTTCTTAATTTCCATATACAAATTAGTAAGGGAGTGTGTGGACGTTTTATAGTAGAATAAAGGCACAAATCCATAATTGTGCCAACATATTCTTTTGCTATAGAGTATTTATTATTTATTAATATTTACTGGACACAATTTCTAACATTTGTGTCAGAAAAGAGGAATTTATAATTATTAAAATATATTCTCTATTTGAAGACCCAATGAGAAGTAGAGTGATTTATTATTTATTAATATTTAGTGGACACAATTTCTATCATTAGTGTCATAAAAAGGAATCTACAATTATTAACTCATTTGTCTATCTGAAGACCAACTAACTTTTGCACAGAGACCAACCCTAAGGGCACAATTGTTGGTTATGTGTCACTGCAGGTAGGACTTTAAAACCAAAAACCATATCACCAAGTATAAAAAACAAATCTGCAAGAAGATAACAATCCAAAAAGCAATTCAAAAAGATACGAATCTAATAAACATTCATTGCACCTGGAAATGATCCTTTGTAAATCTAAAACATGCCACTTAGTACTATGGTGTAGTGGTATTCTTCTTTACTTGTAAGTGAGAGATCTGAGGTTCAGCTTTCGGGAAAAACAAATTTGAACAACATTATTGCTAACTTATTTTGAGGCTAAAATATTGCACGGTAATAAACAGCTTCATACCATTATTTACCACAATTTTATAAATTTTAATTATTGGTGTGCAAGTGGAGGTAAAGACAAACGAGAGAGAACATATAGTGCCTTTGACAAATAATTTTTATAGACACAAAATATTTTTTGTGCCCATTTTCAGTAAAAAAGTTGTCATGTGATCCCACTCGACACGATTTCCGTGCCCATTACTGTTTTGTGTCTGCTTTTTTTAACATTGGGCACAATAGATGGTGCCCTCTATGGAATGGGAATTGTTTAAGCTTTTTGGTGGTCAAACTGACACAAAATTCTCAATTGTGCCCTTTATTTTGTACCCAAAGCTCATTTTTCTTGTAGTGTAATCACATTCCTTAATAAAAAAAACAAAAAACAAAATGAAATTGTTCACACACACAAAGTGTGTGCTCATCTTAATAGAATAAATAATTACAACGTTCTTCTACAAGCCCCGGAAAAAAAAAACTAAAAAACAAAAAAATAGGCGCTAAGCAAAAATTTAAAACAATTGGCGGTTTCTATAAAATAAAAAATACATATATACGCAAATTAGCTTTACATAGATACTTGATTATTATTATTATTGCTCGTATATCCCCACACACTTTGTATGTATGGACAATTTTTATTTTTGTTTTTAAAATTAGGGAGTGGGAGAGGGAGAGGGAGAGAAAGAGTGAGTGTGGAAATGGGGATGAATTTTTGTTTTTATTTTTTAAATTAGAGATTTGTTAGAATCACATATGTAGGTAATGTTTTTAATAAAATTGTAAAATTTAGATTGTGCAAAATTAATTTATTGATCATAATTTTATTTTATGATAGGAGATAAAAATGTTTTTTCATCTTCTTTTAGTTGACAAAGAAAGTTTCATTAATGTATAGTTTAGATTATTAATGTGAGTGTGGAAAAGTGTTTAATACTAATTTGTTGAAGATGACTACTACTTGACGGATTTGCTGTTGGCTAGATTGTATACATCAGCGTTGGTCCGATATCCCATAGGGCAATGGCAATGAGGTTATTGAAAATTTAAAATTATGTAGCATTGATTTCATCTTTCTTTTAAAATACAAGATATATAGCCACTCAGTACTATCGTTTGATGGTATTTCTTTTTGCTTAGAAGTGAGAGGTCTTAAGGTTTAAATCACATGGATGATAAATTTGATACCAAATTAAAATGCTCATTGTGTGGCTTAGCTGAACTTCCCCTCCCCTAGCATAAAAATATCAATGTACTAAAAAAAAGTACAAGATATACAAGACTAAGGTGACATGGACTCGTTCAATCGCTAAACCCTTCTCTCGCTCTTATTCCATCAATTCAATGCAACCTTTTCATTACCTTGCTCAGGACTCTCGAAATCTCAAGGACGAACATGCCCTCAACTTCTTATACTAGCTACGTATGTTGTGGTGTAACTCCTAGCAAGTTGGATGGATTTGAGATCCAACTGAAGCTCCATATGGGATTCTTAATTCGATTAATACTAAAACCCCTAATTAACAATTTGGCTTATACACAACATGCATCGACCCTAACGTGTGAGTCATTTTTTTAACTCGATTGAGCTATACCTAGATTAATCAAGTTTTCATCTGTTATTTTTTTCGTTTAACTAATTAAGTTATTATTTTCCAAGTATATAATATACATCCACGAGCTGGCCTATATATATATATATATCCACATATATATATATAGTTAATTAAAGGGTTCTCGGATATAGATCCTTACAATTCTTATTTCCTAACCCACCTAATTCTAAACATCAAAATAAAATCCAAATTTGAAAAAGACCGCCAAATAAAAAAGTAATTGACCTACTATTACAAAATATTTACAACTTGTGCCACAATATTCAAATCAAATCAATAAATATTATTACTTACCTTAGTTATAATGAACAAATAATTATTGCACATACTATTACCCCTAACACACACACACACACACACACACACATAAATACATTGAAAAATATATCATACTACTAAAAGTTCAATATGCATATAATTTACCTATATGTATATAGTACTACTATACGTTCAAATATATATATGCGCAATACTAACGTATATGTTAAAAAATTATTATATGTAATTAGTTTACCTATTTGTAAATTTATGATAAGCAAATAATATTTTGTAGGTAAATTAATAATATTTTGTAGATGAATTAGTATTAAATAAAATAATATTGCTTTATTACATAGATAAATTATTTTGATGTATTTTGCATAGATTGGGTTTGTTTATTATGTATGTAAATTATTTTTCATGTATTTTACATAGATAGGATAAATTATTTTGAACAATCTAACATTTTAAAATTTTAATAGTAGGTGCACTATTTGAATCAAATAACATTTTTTTTAAGGTAAATTATTTTGCATGAAATTTTACATATATTAGTCATTTTTTTTATATATGTGTGAAATAATTTACCTACATTAATATGTAAAATATAATTTTAGTGACTTAATTAATGACACACCCCGACCGAAATCAGGGCGTGTTGGCCGTCACGTGAGGGTGACGTAACCATGTGCACAGTGCGAAAGCTAAGAATAATAATAAAAGTACGAATAAATAAAAACCAAGCTATACACTGAGCAGATAACATACATGTGCAAGTGTAAGTGTGAAAAATAATATTCAGAGCACAAAATACCTAGTGCAGTCCAGAGGAACAAACACTAACGAAACACACCCAGAGGTGGTCCTACACTGGTGATAATTTGTCAGATATGCCGAGAATTCCTCGTGAGCCACCAAAAGAGCAATCCAAACTAGAACCTGGAGGGGCGCAAAACAGAAAGTGTGAGTGGGTAAAAACAAAGCTTTTCAAACTCATTTCATTATCAAAGTTCTAACCCCTCGCCGTAAAACTTGTATAGTTTCCCAGAAAAATATAATATATACACATATAGAAAACATGCTCAAAAATATGCCATGTCGAATGTCTCTACATAAAATGTAAGAAAACCAGGTAATGTCAATCAATGCAATGTAATCTGCCAGCCGGAGTCACCTAACGTGACCTGTACGGCTGAATCTAG